GGTATTTCAGTAAATTGATTTGATATGTAACTCCCAAACAATTAATGGGGAGTTACAAATCATCAAATCCCAAAAAATATGCATTTATAATATTAATATTTTTATATTTTTTAATCTTGATCTTCCATGTTTATTGTTTTATCAGTYTTTAATTCACATAGAAAACACGGTAGTAATTTTTTTTGGTATCAATCAAGCTAATATGGATAAACGCAATGGAATATAAATCGACAACAGTGAGAAAATTAAAATGGTTTATGATGACAATCAGAGTTCGAGGTCGGAAATTGAAGAAATCAACCAAAGCGAATGTCTTGGTAATAGATTATTATTTTTTTTAGATTCGTTTTAATCGAAATTATGTTCATTACGATGTGTTGTGTTTTTTATAATTCATCTTGTATTGATAGTTTTTTTTTAATTACTAAAATACGTACCTAAATCACATGTTCAAATGGAAGTACATGCACGACTCATTTTCATATTGTCATATTACCGACTTTTATGAATCATGAACCATTGTATTCATGTTACGTCATATGAACATAAGTGTTATTTTTTAAGCTTGATACCAAATCTKTAWATTTGTGTAAGTGTTTGCACCCGGTGTTCATAGCGTTGGGGTTATGTGTTCATATATTTTATACGATATGAACAAGGGGTGAACACGATATGAACAAGGGGTGAACAACCATATAAGATCAGAAACATATATGAACAAGGGGTGAACAACCATATAAGATCAGAAACATATATGAACAAGGGGTGAACCTTAAACGATGTGGATGCAATGCATGTATAAAACTCCAATTGACAAATGACCGCTCCTGGATATGTTTATAATGAAGGAACTATTGTTCACAAGTTGTTCATATTGTGTTCATACCTGTTTTTTTATTTATTTTCTTTCGTATAACAGTTTTTCTTATTACGTTCATATTGTGTTCATAAATGCTATGCAGTCCAAGTTCATATATATGTCAAATTTTTGTTCGTATTTGACACAATGGTTCATATATATATAGTTGTGTTCATATGGTTCTTACATTAACAAAAATAAGTTAACAAAAAAATCAAAGAATTTTTTATATTGTAACTCCCAATTAATTAATGATATGGGAGTTACATATTTTTTTTACCAAAATACCCTTTCAATTTTGTTCACTTATCTTTATGAAATTTTAAATTAAAAAAAATAAGTTTTTATCATGATTAATCACAACCGTTTATTGAAAAATTGAATGGCCAAGATCGGTTAATAAAGTTAACACAAAAACTTTGGTTAACATTTGAACCTGACCCTATATATATATATATATATATATATATGTGTGTGTGTGTGTGTGTGTCGGGTTCATACGAGAATGATACGTATTTAAGAAAATAAGAGAATGACTCAATCACATGTGATACACTTACATCACGTACAAAATCACATGTGATTCACGCGACCTTGCGATGTGACCTTGCCACGCAACCATAGGGTTGCCTAGCTACACACTTTTTTGGCCGTTAATATAAAATTACATACGATTTTATACGTAATTTGGCCATTCTCTTATTATCTTAAATATGTATCATTTTTATATGAGCCTACCTCTATATATAACAAATTATAATACTACATATATATAATACCCCTCCCTTACTTCTTGATAACTTGTCGCCTTTCCTTTCTTGCTGATACCCCATTACCTTTAAGGTAATAGATTACAAGTTTTGAGTGGTTTACCCAAATACTTATCCGATAAATGTTTATCGGTAAAATCCAACACTATTTATTTACCGGGTAAAATTTTATTCCACTAAAACGGCATCGTATGTAACAATTTACCTGGTAAACGCTAACCGTGGTAAAAATCGTCGCACTCACTTACGAGTAAGACTCTCGGATCTTGCCATCACTCTTACCGGGTAAAATTATTGGCTCTTGTCATATTTATACAATAAGATAATGTGACTTGATAAACGTTTATTTGAATAAGCTTTTAGTAAACAACCCTTTAGTAATGTTAGGACAAGAGGTCCAACTCGAAATAAAATATAAACCATTTCAGTATAATTATTTTACTTTATAATAATACCATACCATACCAAGGCCCATATATATGGCTTATTATATAATATATAATACTCTATTCAGACACTAATAATACCATACAAAGGCCCATATGGCTTATTATATGATAAGCTTTTACCAAACCCACAAAGTTGGTCTGAAAACTAGATTTTGTTTTCATATATCATGCATATAAAACGCTGTGGCTTATTGACAATCGACTCATCTAAGGAATTAATCTATACAATAAGCTACACAATTGATAATTGCCATCATTATATAAATGGTAAGCTTAATTTGTTCGAAATATCAATTGCCATCTTTTCCTTGTCGTTATCGTAATTAGAGTAGAAGATCGATTGCTCAGCGTTAAAGCGATTATGGCAATCGATATCGTAAAACAATCAAGCAAATTCATAAAACCCGCCACTCCAACTCCTCCAAACCTTCGTCATTTCAGGATAGGCTTCATCGACGAGTTTGCTCCATCCGCGAATGTAAGTGTTGTTCTCTTCTTCTCCATCAATGGCGATAGAAACCCGAAGTTCATTGCGCAACTGGGAGAATCACTTCAGACGACCTTAATACGGTTCTACCCTCTAGCGGGTAGATATGCAGCAGAAACTCGCACCATTGATTGCAATGACCAAGGTGCTGAGTTTATGCATGCCAAAGTTAACATCAAACTTGAAGCATTTCTTGATTCTGAAGTGAATGTTAAGCTTGTTGACAAATTCCTTCCACGTGAAATTGGGGAAAGTGGTCTTATCACTGACCCAATACTCGCGATTCAAGTGACCACGTTCGAGTGCGGTGGTGTAGCACTTGGTGTAAGCATTTCACATAAGATCGCTGACGCCTCTACTCTTAGTACATTCTTGAACGAATGGGCTGTTATTAACCGAGAAGAAAAGAGGATCGAACTCACTGGATCTTGTCGTTTCAACGCAGCCTCATTGTTTCCTTCTCGTGGTGTACCTGCATTAGACCTAGGGTTTAGTAGATCAATAAGAGATGATGACATGCAAAGCAAATATGTCACAAAGAAACTCTCATTCAGTGAAAGCGAAATATCAAACTTGAAAGAGAAGGCCATGCTGATCAATGGAAGAAATGGAACCCCACAATGGTCAAAGGTACAATTGGTGTCTGCAATCATACTGAAGTCCTTCATCTGCGTCGATCGAGCAATACGTGATGATCCAAGAGATACTATACTTATTCATCCGATAAACCTAAGGGAAAAAACTGCATCTCTAATACCTAAAGATTCTTGTGGGAATCTTTGGGGGATATTAGCTACAGAATGCGGAGTTGTTGAAGCAACTGAGGCACTGGCTGATCTATTAAGAGATTCTATCAAGAACACCATAAGTAACTACTTGAAGGTAAGCCATGATGATGAGGGAGAGCAGACAATGGTTCTGAATTCCATCTTAAATGTAGGCCAGATTCCTCAAACAGCAAACGTGATTTGGATGTCTAGTTGGTGTAAGTTCCCTTTCTACGAAGTTGACTTTGGTTTTGGAAAGCCAATTTGGGCAAACCCTGGTGGCATGCCTGTTAAGAATTCAGCATGTTTGATGGATGGTGTTGGAGGTGATGGAGTTGAAGCTTATGTCTGTATGGAACCTAAAGACGTCCCTTATTTTGAAGAATCTCTAGAGATCAAAGTTTGCGTTGGTTAGGTGTTTCGGCTTCCAAGCATAATTCGGTTCGAATCATATCATATGATGGTTGTATGTCAATTATTATAAATCTCGGTTCTTGTCCTTTTTCTTGTTCGTAATCTGTTTGGATATCGGTTGATGATTATTTTCTAAACATCGAAATGTATTCGGAAATGGTAGATTTTGGAATTATCGACAATGGTTACTCCACTTTACGTTACAAAATGTGCACCAAAATATAGTTCATGAACCGAAAACGACGGAGTTGAGCTTGTGTTAAATACTAACACACACTCTTCATCATTTGTGGTGAGGTTTGAGCCTTTGATCTATTGAAAGGCTGTCTGCTACAATAAAATAAAATAAAAAAGTGAAAAAGACAAAAAAAAAACAAGAAAAAAAACCGACAAGAATTAATATGTAATTTATTATATAATCGAAAATAAAATAAAAATCGAAAAAGACAGTGAAAAGTAAATTATATTTTTTTAATTAGGATTTAAAATATTGATTAATTGGTAATAAATTGCATCCCATTTACGACCACGATGGACTGTGGTCAAAATCGAACACCTACAACCACAATTACAAAAATGGCACCACTATTTTCAATTATTTATTAGCATCCAACCAAACCCACTTTTACTACTCCATGGCTAAGATCACGGAGGTTCCTGGTCCTAACCCAACCCGAAAGGCTAGCGGTTCATGGGGTTTGAGTCTCGTGTTTTTCCCGTTAGCCATTGTTGGGATGGCGGTGCTTGTTGTGCAGCTCGATACCTATGAGACGGTGGCGTATCCGATGCACGAGCTCGGTGAACCGATGTTTGTTGCAGCCCGGAAGAATGTAGGGACCGTTAATTCTGGTTTGGAAAAGATTGGGTCGGGTCAGTTGGTTGGAGCCGAGGATATCGTTTATGAAACGAAGTCCGGGTTGTTGTACACAGGTTGTCAGGACGGGTGGATCAAGCGAGTCAAGTTGACTGACTCAGTGGCTGACTCGGTGGTCGAGAATTGGGTGCACACAGGAGGTCGACCAGTTGGGATCGCAATCGATGAATCCGGTGATGTTTTTGTTGCCGATGCTATTAAGGTTTGCAGGTTATTTAATTCAATTCAGTTCAACAAAAAATAATTACGAAATTAAAGCAAAACTTAATTTTGTTTAATTTATAAAAAAAGTAATATATATATTTCTTACTTTTCTGATATTTCCCACAAAAATTGAGTTTGAAAGCGTTATTTAATTGATGCAATTGATTAGATATAAAAATATTGAATGTGATATTTTTTATTTATTTTTTATTGTATCAATTAATTTTTTTCTATTAAATTGATTTTTTTGCATTAGTAAAAAACAATTTTTATTGTGATAATTTTAATTTTTTTTAAATGTTCAATTTGATATCTAAATTTAAAAAACGAGATTTAAAATGAAAAATAGATTTTATTGCATTAATTTTTGGAAAAAAACGAATTTTAGTTATTTTTCTATAACTATTTTACAAGTTGGTTCTCCAAAATAAGAATCAGGTGCAAGTTGATCTTCCAAAATGACGATTTTGAAAGTTGGCTCCCTAAAATAGGAATCAGGTGCAAGTTGGTTCTCCAAAATGACAATTTTGAAAATTGGTTCCCCAAAATAGGAATTAGGTGAAAGTTGGTTCCATTTTAATACAATTTTCCCAAAAAAGTAATATATATTTCTTACTTTTCTGACATTTTCCCACAAAAATTGAGTTTGAAAGCATTATTTAAATATGTCGTAAACCTGAATATAAAACATTATATACAAATATTTACATTGTGATTAAAACCGTTATATGCAATATCTCTAGACGAATGATTGATTATATACCTACTATTTGTTTGCAGGGTTTGCTTAAGGTAAGTATCGACGGTAAGTTAGAGTTATTGACACACGAGGCTGAAGGTGTAAAGTTTGGGATGCCTGATGGCGTAGCTGTTGCAAAAAATGGTATGGTTTATTTCACTGATGCGACATATAAATACGATTTTCGTGGAGCGTTGAACGATCTTTTCGAGGGTAGGCCACATGGCAGACTATTGAGCTATGATCCATCAACGAAACAAACAAAAGTGCTTGCTCGAGACCTTTACTTTGCTAACGGGATCGAAATCTCACCAGACCAAGACTTTGTTATATTTTGCGAGACTTTCATGTAAGATTATTGTCTTAACACCTTTCTAATTCAATTATATGACATACCAGCTAATAACCTTCAAATTAACTGAAATTTTCGTGGATTCTTTTTTTAATCCACTAACTCAGACTTATAACGAGTTTCATATTCACAATTCATGGTCAACATGGGTTAATTTCACTTTCGTTTAAGGATGTTTATTATGTTTAACTTGTTAACGTAGGAGGAGGTGTTCTAGATACTACTTACCAGGGGGGAAAAAGGGTTCTATCGATGTTTTTGCTGACAATTTGCCCGGTTTACCTGACAACATACGGTACGATGGAAATGGGCACTATTGGTTGGCAATACCATGGGTAACTTATTTTCCTATGTTATTTGAATACAAATCTTATATATGATTTCATAAATAATGTGTAGAACTATGTATGCGTATGCAGGACAATTCACTTTTAACGAAATTTATACAAACGTATCCGTTTGCGCGCAAGATTCTTGCCTTTACATTTAAGCACCTACATAAGATGCCTGAGTTGATGAAGTTTGGTGGAGTCATCGCTCTGGATTTGGAAGGAAACCCGATTGGAGGTTATTATGACGACTCATGGAAAATGACGACATCAGGGCTCAAGATTGGCGAGCACTTGTATATGGGCTCCATCACAAAATCACACATTCTGCGTCTCAGTCTTGCTCAAAATCCTCTTCCTGTTACAACCTCGTGAAGGGCACTATTGTAATAAAGCAAGGGAGGAAAAACGATATCTATATGTTGTATTTTGAATATCACAAGTTGGTTCCATAAAAATACAATAGTGTTTGGAAGGATAAAATACACATAAATTTAACATATTGTAATTTTGGTATCAACCATTTAGGGTTGAATCTTGTTTGGCAAAAAAAGAGTATACCTCTTAATGGTTCTAAAACTCTTTGAATGATTTTGTATAATGGGTCTCCTTTCACCAATCAGCTTGCTAATTTCATTGTAAACAATTATATATCATTTTGCACTATATCATGAGAGTCTCTTAATCATTCTGACCACTTAATCATTTTACACCAAACTATTCAGCAACTGTCAAACAGCCCCTAAGAATGTCTTTGTCTGCGCTTCAACCTCTGAACATCTCAGTCATCATATCCTTTCATTTCACTTACTGCTACTACCAGTCAGATATGTTCATATGTTGAAAAATTTTAAAAATGGGAAAAGTCCAAAAAAAGCCAATGGACTTTACTGTTTGGAACGATTAAGTCCTTGGACAATTTTTTGGAACAAATAAATCATTAGACATTCTATAACCTGTTAAATTAGTCATTGGACTTTTTAAAATATGTTAAATATATCCTCATTCTTTTAAAATGTAACCGATAACCTGAATAGAAGGTAAATATTTAATTAAAAAAAACCTAAAAAAAACTTGTAACCTAACTACCCATCTCCCTCATCTTCTCCCTCTCGTGACCACCGCCTCCCTCCCGTCTCCTTCTCCCTCTCCCCGCTTAATGCTCACACACCATCGTCTCCCTCGCCCCCATTGCCGCCGCACCACCCCTGTCGACGCCCCTGTCTCCCTCGCCCCCATTGCCGCCGCACCACCCCGTCGCCGCCCCTGTCTTCGCTCGTCTAATGAGGTTTGCTCCAAACTACTATCCTCAATAGCTTCTTGCATATTTTAATGGCCATTCCTCTGAAGTTTAGAGTTGACATGGACTGATTATTGTAAACACATTCTCTTGATGGTGTCCTGGACTGATTATTTGTGTATTTGTCACACACATGGGACTGATTATTTGTGTATTTGTCACACACATGTGAGTCAGAATCCGGGAGAGTGAGTAAAACTTACTATCATCGTCTTAGTTAGCTTCAAGATTACTACAAATAAGTCGATTCATTTGCAGAAAGTAAAGTTTTGATCCCCACATATCCACAAAGTTTATTTTCCAAGGAAATGGTGTAAGAAATTAACAGATTACATGTCATGATGCTGCAGCAATTAGGAAACGGTATTCAACATATAGTGGTTTACCATAGTTACAGTAGTGATTGATGGTTTACCATAGTTACATGTAGTGATTGATGGATTACCATAGTTGCATGTAGTGATTGATGGTTTACCTTAGTTACATGTTGCAACAATTAGGAAAGGGTTGCTGCAATGCTGCAGCAATTACATGTCATGATGCTGCAGCAATTAGGAAAGGGTATTCAATATATAGTGGTTTACCATAGTTACATGTAGTGATTGATGGTTTACCATAGTTGCATGCTGCAGCAATTAGGAAAGGGTTAACAGTAAAAGGTTAACAGAAGCATGAATTTGAATATATAGTAGAACCTTACTAAAATCTGAATATATAATAGAAGCATGAATGGCACAAAGAACATAATAGAATTTATCAAACAGAACTACTTCTACTAAAATGTTAACAATAAAAGGAATACCTTCTTAGCAACTTCTGATTTCACTGTTGTTGCATGTTAGAATCTATTGTTTTGATTTATATGCTGTAATGGATTGGTTATATAATTGGTGCTTATTGGGTTTTTAAGTGATGATATGGCTGTATAGAAGAAAAAAGACCCTAGTTTTCATTATTATCTCAGATATATAAGAAACTTAACTGCCTGTTTCATTTATCACAAGAGATTGAGCATTGCAGCTGTCACATGTGAAATAACATGGTCATTGATGTGTCAATCTACTGTTTCTAGATCTTCCACAGAGGCTGAATACAAGACCATTGCAGCTGTCACATGTGAAATAATATGGTTGCAACAAGTAATGTCATTTTGGGTTGTCTACAGTTGCTTCTATGGTCATGTGGAGTTTGAGGAGAAACTTAACTGCCTGTTTCATTCATCACAAAAGATTGAGCAACAATTAACTCAGTTTTATGCTACATCCAATTAACCCTTAACCAATCAACAAGGACTAAGCAGCAATTTACCCTTCAACAATCAATCCAATTAACACTTTAAAACAAACTGACAAGATGTACAACGTGAAACAAATTCATGACCAGTTCAAATTCAACTAACAAACATTAAGAACATTGTAATATATAATATGTCATACCTAATAGCAAACAGGGTCTGTTAAGGCTGTTTGACAGTGATCAAACAAGAACCCTTTGACAGGCTGCTTGTTATACCCTTTGACAGTGATCAAACAAGAACCACCACATTTTGAAGTAGATCGAGAACCAAACCAAAGAACCAAAACATAAATCAAACAAGAGGTGAAATCGAGATGGATACCTTAAATCGAGAGAAGAGAGCTCGAGAGAGAGAGAGAGATCGAGAGCTTGAAGACAGTAGTTAATCCAGAGACGTGACTAGAGAGAGATCGAGAGCTTGAAGAGATAGACCCAAAGACGAATTGAGAGAGAGAGAGAGAGAGCTTGAGAGAGACCAGAGGTAGGCGACGATTATAAATGGCCCCTAAGTGTTTTATATTTTCTTTTCATTTGTGAATTTGTAACATCATTTTGTGTCATCCTTTCTAAAGTATGATAGATTTTGTTTTCATCGGTGAATTGTGATGAAATTGTTATTCTTGTTTACAGAATGACATCTGATTGCGATGGTGATTATAGTAATAATCCTAGCTATGAAATACACGATAATTCAAGTGAACATATGTCATATTCTTTATCTTTAGACCTTGAAGATGAGGATATAATCAACTTAAATAAAACAGTTGATGATCAGTTTCTAAATAAGCTTTGTATTGTAAAGATGATTGACTCACATTCCAAAACTGACTACAACAAGAAGAGCCAATAGAGTTGGAAGAGGTAATAGAGGTGGAAAAGGCAATAGAGGTGGGAGGATATCATCATATGTAGGGGTCTCTTATAATCCAGTCATGGGAGAAGCAATGATTGGGGTAAGCCATTATTTGTTTTTCAGATTCAAGTAACATTTTTTATGACTATTGCTTACATTTTATCTTCATCATTAAAGACATCCTCAGGTGTGCCACAACCAGCATGGCCCGAATGCATCATACCGTAAATTAATGATGAAGAGAGGCTGTTGTTAACGATGAAGACCGTGATGAAGGTGATACTACTGTTGGTGATGAAGAACATCATGAAAGTGATGATGTTGTTAGACATCAAGAAGGGTTACAAGAAAGTCAAATGGCTATATCTCCACCAGAAATTAATGATGCAAATGAAGAATAGTTCATACCATGACTTTAACATAGATTTGGCATTACTTTGGTATATTTTAGCCGAACTTTTGGTATATTTTGGCGTAACTTTTGGTATATTTAGCGCAATTGTTGGTATTTTTTGGCATAATTTTTGGTATATTTGGCGCAATTGTTAGTATTTTCTTTGCACAACTTTTGTTACATATTTTGATTCAACTTTTGATATATATTTTGGTTTAACTTTTGGTAAAATTATGCCCAAATTTTGTTTGTATGTAGATTATTATGTTTTGGATACAATTTTTATATGTTTTGTGAAAAGTAATGAGAATGGTATATTTGTTTTTTTTATACATGTAAGTACTTTTTTCGTTCAAAAAATGTTAAAAGACTTGATCGTTCAAAATATGAAAGTCCATTGGTTTTTTCGTACTTTTTCCATTAACAAAATGTATTTAATAGATTTTAGAAAGTCTAAGGACTTATTTAACAGGTTTTGTAAAGTCCAATGACTTATTTAACAGGTTCTAGAAATGTCCAAGGATTTATTTGTTCCAAAAAAATTTCCAAAGATTTAATCGTTCCAAACAGTAAAGTCCATTGGGTGTTTTTGAACTTTTCCCTTTAAAAATATATGGTTTGATTAAAGGCAATTTTTTTAAACATCTTAACTCCATTGATTATACAGAATGGTAATACTCCCACGAGTTTGCACTACTTGCTTATGACCCACTCGTCTTAAAAATAAACGCAATTTTGTTATGGTAATATACAAGCGAGCCACCTCTTCTGGAACTCTTACGATTTAATTCTTTTAAAGCTCAAACTCCTACATAGATATGCACATCTAGCCCAATGATCGACTACGTTGGAGGAATTACAAGCTCAATCCATGCCTTCAAGCCCTATTTAGTTGAACATATTTGATCCAAAAACAGATAAAAACTGAACCAAAAAGAGGTTCGTGGTTAAGATCTGTTTTTAACCCGATTAAAAACCGAATAATTTTGAATTTTGGAACGATTAAGGATTAATCAAGGATTGAATAATGACTATTTTTTTATATTGAATAAACTATCTCGACAATATAAACTCTTAATTCTTGTTCTTTGTTTTTGTTTTCAGTAAGCTCATATTTTTGTGTGATCATCTTACATTAACAGATAAATAACAAAGTAGTTGTTCTTGTGTTAAATATATTAAGATTAAGCCTTGTTAGATGTTGATAATATCGGTTAGTTTTATGGAGTTCACGTGTGGAGTTTTAACAAATTGTATGTATTCAATAATAATATGTTGTAAACCTGAATATAAAACATTATATGTAAACATTTACGTTGTGATTAAAACCGTTATATGCAATATTTTTAGACGAATAATTAAGTATATACCTACTATTCGTTTGCAGGGTTTGCTTATGGTAAGTATCGATAGTAAGTTAGAGTTATTGACACACGAGGCTGAAGGTGTAAGGTTCGGTTGCCTGATGGCGTAGTTGTAAAAAATGGTATGGTTTATTTCACTGACGCGACATATAAATACGGCTTTCGTTCGCGTTGAACGACCTTCTGGAGGGTTGTCCACTTGGTAGACTATTGAGCTATGCTCCATCAACGAAAGAAACAAAAGTGCTTGCTCGAGACGTTTACTTTGCTAACGGGGTCAAACTCTCACCAGA